AATTGGGTAATAATAAATGTTTTATCATTTAATATAGGGGAAACTGAGTTTTTTTTTTTAAATTTCGGTAATTTTTCCTTAATATAGTAAAAAAATAAAACCCCCAGTGGTGAATAAATACCACCAAAAGAAAGCTCTATCTGTCCCCAAAAAAGGGTATAAAATTCATTTCAGTACAGCGCTGCATGACGGAATAAATGTCAGTCAAAGTACCGCAGCGCTGAATACTGAAAAATGGCCTGGATGGGAAGGGGGTTTAACACCGCGGATGTCAACTGGTTAAAAGCTTTTACTGCTCATCAGTTTAGCGTTAACAGTGAGTGATGGCCCTAGAATTATTGCTCTGACTCCGACGTTTGCGGCATTTAACATGTGAGGCAGTTTTCCTTTCTGCACGTAGGCACATACCTACTTGCATTTGTATGTGTGTGTACGTATGGGCGGGGGACTTTAAAAAATGTTTTTTTTCACATTTTTTATTTTTTTCTGTTACTTATTTTACACTTAACTTTATTGTTATCACATAGGGGGATAACTAACCCCCTATGAAATAGCAAATTTGGTGTGATAGGTCCTCTTTATTGAGACCCCTAATGTCACCTACCAACTCCAAAGAAGCTGACAAAGCAACAATCTGCTTCACCAGCTTCTTCTCCTGGCTACAGGAGGCAGAGAATGTGCAGTGAAACCTGAAGTGATGTAATACACATTACTTCCGGGTCTAGCGATGGGAGGAGAGCTCAGCGGCTAGAAGCTTGCTGATCTTCCTCCGATCCATGAGGGGAGACACGCCTTGCCAGCCCCGACCGGGGGGCAGTGGAGAGGGGGGCACACTTCGCCCCACGGTACACGCCATGGGGCAGCTGTATAGCCCCCAGATCGCTTGCATCTGAGCAGCAATCGCCGGTTGTTTACAACGGTACCAGGAACAGCTGTGTTCTTGGTAAAACCGCTTCAGAAGCTGGACGGCCACCCGCATGGAATGGTTAATTGAGAACATAAGGGAAAAATCATGGACACTCACATGAGCGGTTTAAACTTTTCCCCAACAGAGAAAAGACATCCATCCTCCTAGGACACTAGCAAAAAAACTAAAGCATGATGGGAGTGGAAGCAGTTATACCTGGCCAAGAGCTTTTTTCTTTGCCAGTGTCCAATTCCTCCTGAAGACAGCACTGCAACCCAATTGACTCTTAACTGAATCCTGCGTCCATTAAAAGGAGAACTATGAGGTGAGTGCTTTTCACTCACCTCATAGTTCTAGCCGACCTGTGACAATGAGACTGCCACAGGTCGGCTCAGTAGATCGGGAGGTGAGTGAACACATACCGGCGTTCGCTCACCTCTCCATCCTGTCACGGCTATATGCCGTGACAGGGGAGGGGCTGGATTCCCCCCTCCGATCCGCCAGTGCTGACTGGCGGAACGGACGGGGGAGGGGGCGGGTACAGCTGGCTCTGCCTCTAGATAGGCAGAGCCAGATGTCACTCACGCAGCTGGGCGGATCCCGGCACAATTGTCGGGATCCGCTTCAGCTTCGGCGTCTCAGTATGCCGCGAGAAGCAGTTCGCGGTATACTGCGGCGTCTCAGTATACCGCGAGATACAGCTCGCGGTATACTGAGCCTAGGGTGACGGGAGGACGCTAGTTTGTGTCCTCCCGTTACCCTAAGGAAAACTATGGGGAAAAGCCTTAACCCCATACTTCTCCTTTAATGAACAAGAAAAATAATTTTTTTAAATATTTTATTGCACTGTAAACATCATTGAATACACTCACACACAATACATAAACTGTAAACACATTAATATATGTACTTTAACAATATCTTACCAGGACACTCCTCGAACATTTGTATTTCCTAAGGAGTTTAGTATGCTTAAGATTTAATCTGTGGCTTTTTGCTTCTTTTCTTAATAAGAGCTCAATGCGTGGTGTTATTTTAATTTTCGGTCTCAGACGAACTTTACGGTTATCAGGTGTAAATAGCTGAAAGCAGAATGGGCAGATTCCCTTTTTTTTACTGGTCACCTCTGCAAGAATACATAAAGAAGGTAGGAAGTTAAAAGGGTAATTATACATGGATTCAGCAATCAAAGTCACCAGAGAATGGTCAAATCCTATATCACAAGTCGAAATGTACACACAGGAAAAAATAGGTTTCAGGTCCCGCAGTGAACTGAATAGACATACCCTGCTGAAGATCCAGTATCATGTCAGAACCACCCAATTCCTTTTGACAGTCAACTTAGCTAAAGCAGGCCATAAAATCATTCAAGATTCATGGGTTATATTAACCAACTCGGGAAGGGGGGGGGAGGTACCACATCTGGTAGTTCCCACATGTCTTGTAGCAGACAAGAAAAGGCTTTTCCTTTTCCTAGATTTAGGACAGAGTATCTTTTATAACTTCCTACCGTCCATGGCCGTTCGTGAACGGCCAGATGGGAGCCTTACAGGAACAGGAGGGCATCTTAAGGCATCCTGCCCCTCCCCCACTCATGCGCAGCGCCCAGCGCGCACACGAGTGGGGAAACTGCCAGCAATGTACACGGCCAACAATGGCCGTTTACATTCAAACAATCAGGCGTCTCTAGAGACACCCGATTGCTTGTAGTACCTGCGGGTGTGCGCCCTCCCCCGCCATTTCCGTTGGTCCCGAGATCCGCTGTGCCCGATGCGGCTGGGACCAGCACAGCGACGCTATCAGTGGAGATCAAAGGGAGCTCAGTACACAATCTCCCTTTGATATCCTGTCCTCGGAATGCAGAAACTGATGTATATTACATCACGTCCTGCATTCAGTGTCACTCTCCGGTTACAGATGCCGGTGAGAAGCTGATGAAGCAAATCTCTTTCTTTTTGATAAGATGGTATACTAGTTTTTGGGTAGACTCCTCATCCTGTCAGGACATCCCTGCCAGGCAGTAGTTTCAGCTTCAATTTTTGCCCTGTACCTGATTTTGACTAAACTATTCCTGACCATACCACCCACCTTTTAATCTAAAACAGTGGTCCTCAAACTAGATCCTGCTGCTTTCCATAAACAAGTCCCTACAGTGAGAAAGATCTCCACACTTTCCCTATGCCTATCTTCATTAGGAGCAACAAGATCACATATATAGGTGTGTCCTATGTTTAATGGCCTGCATACAGATGACAGGCAATGTGAGGAAAACAGATCAGCTGCTTACCCTCCCTTCAACTGTCACTGCTCTCTAATTGCCTGCCTCCCAATGCCTTTCTTTTGAAGTCTCCCTGGTTTGTTATAAATGCCAAAATGCAGAAAGCCGGGGAGGTCTCTAATAATAACCAGTCCTATGAGGGTCTAAGGGCAGTGCTGCAACCCACATGTATGCTGCCATGAAGTTCCACAAGAAAGATATATGATGGTAAGTATGTTACAATTTTCCTTTATGGAAGGGAAAGTTCTAGAATAACGTACAGTTTTATCAGATAAATGGGCTCCAGGTCCTTAGAGGAAGTACTCCCAGAGCTGGCATTGTCATGTTATGGCCAACTTCCTCTGACTGCTAAAGTCTCTAATGGCAACAAAATGTTCTGTGACAATTCACTGACCAAAAGAAAATTGTACGTGGGTGTGTGGATTGGGTTAGTAGGGTCACAAGGTGCAGCGATGCCCACTCTGTTTGCAAGATATTTGGAGGTGCTTGCTCTAAGAACCTGGGGCCTCTGTACCAGATACCATGTACTTTGTTAGAGAAACAGAATGCTAAATGCGGGTTGAAACTTTGGAGGTAAGGCCAATATATTTTGATTATAAAGTGTTTTCAGATTATTTACTTTCTTTATCTTCAATTCTCAAAACACACTTACTTTTTGGAAGAGGACAATGAGACCTGAAAAAAAAAAATTGAACATAAATACAAAAGCCAAAAACGTAGGACAACTGCATACTGCAAAAATGAGTTAATCAGAGACAGGTTGGTTCTTCAAAGAAAAACAAGCACTTAAAGGAGAACCATAGTTCTAGCCGACCTGTGACAATGACACTGTCACAGGTCGGCTCAGTAGATCGGGAGGTGAGCGAACACATACCGGCGTTCGCTCACCTCTCGATCCTGTCACGG